AATAAGCAACAGTTATATAGAAAAATTTTGGATACAGTCATTTTACCGCTTTATATTCTATATTTCATACATAGTGGATACCATGTACCTATGATCTAAGTCATAGACATACTTTTGATCTATCTACTTGCTATCTACATACTTTATTTTTAGCGATGAAAAGACTTAATATCCAAGGTATTGCGATCATATCACTTTTAAAAACGAAGGTTTTATGGCTTTTAATTAAGAAAAAGGAGGTTTTGGTATTTCACCTCTCAAAAACAACGCACTGAAAAACAAGTCTTTTCATTCCCCTATGCAGGTCACGTGATGCCCACACGCGTGCTCGTCTGTACTTACGTAGGCCCGAAATTATCCATTACCCAAATTTAACTGAAACATAAAAGACCAGCCCTCAGAATGTTTTCAAAAATACTGGTCAAAGACATTGGCGGTTAGATTTCGGTATGGTAATAAAAAGTGCTAAGGTTCGGAACGATTAGGTACATGTTCCAGATACGGTTATGGTTTTAAGGCATTTGACATTTTCGAAAGGCTAACACAATCTTTCCTTGAACATTGTTTTTGTTGTAATTTTTTGTATAAATTGTAAATTTTGCAATTTCACTAGGTAATACTGTAGATCGACGTAAATCCACGTTGCGTCCTTCTGGTTAATTAGATACTTTCAAATGTTTTTTCTAGCCATAAATTAACTAACAATACTGTGTGAATTCTAGTAGGTCTGACAGATCTGCTTAAGAAGTTGCTCATTTCCTATCATTATCAAAAACAACAATTTACATATTTCATATAAGGTTAGCCATTACCATTTTTAAATTTCTGCAGTCCAATGCAATTACTTACGCATGTACATCTTATCAAATTACATAAACAAAAAATTAAGCGAAACACCATGTGTTCAATGCAAATGTACATTAGCAACTCGTTAACAGAAAACGTAAAGAATCCTATACCGTTCACGAGATACGGCTTTTATTTTAAAATTCACCCACTGATACTGAAAATTAATTTTCCATCCACAATTAAATTGTCTTACAGATGGTTTATACATACATAATGTCAACAAACGATTAACGATGGTACGTAAAATCTTTTCAGCGCCGCAACTGATTTTAACTCGTCTTCCGGGCCATTCATGTGAATGTTTATCATTAGATTAATGTTGTGCTGGTCTTTAACAAGTGTTACAGTTTAGTGACAAATACTTCAGGATGTGATGGTATGTAAAAGTATCAAGGTAAATGGGTGCGAGCGTGTGTGGTCAGAACGTGCGAAATAATTATTTTCCACGGATTGATATTGTTTACTTAATTAGGTACATTTATTTAATCGATCGAACCAAGGTGCGTGTTAAAAAATGTTACATAATGAAAAAAACCTGGTAAATGGGGTGAAAATGTAGGCGTGGAATTTATTGGTGTATAAAAACCAATTTAGTGTATGTAATAGGTGTACAGAGGATATGAGTTGTGGGAATTAGCTAGACATATTTTACAACAATTATACCTATTAGACCGTCAATGTGCACGATACAGCAGTCATATAAGTGGTTATCGAATTTTAGACTCAAAAAATTCTCATTCAATTCGACGAAAGCCACTAAAATTCACGCTCCCCTCACCCTCACGCATTTTTCAATTTGGTCCATTATTACTGATCTTTTCCAGGAGGTTTTAGCAAAATCTCAATAATCTCGCTTTACAAACGAATCGAAATCACTTTCAGAAAGTCCCGAAAGCAAATCCAAAGAACCTCAAAATGACACTACGGCAAGGTTCCCAAAATAAAGGAATTTAACTTCGCCTGATGGAGACTTCGTGTAGACCATTCCTGTCCTTGTGAAATTGGAAATTGGAACTAGTTTTATCCTTCATGAATAACTATATGTATAGATATCGTTCATACGGACAGGCGGACATATGACAGCGCAAGACAAAATTATAAACGTTAATAATTTACCATCACGGGTGTTTGATCGAATTGCACAGTGCTTGTGTTGATGATTTATATCTAATAAAATCAACGCGGTAAGTAACCCCCCACTCCCACTTCAGTTACAAAAAGCACGACTCACCGCCTAAAATAGAAGTCTGGATCAAGAATACTATACAATATAAGGATTGCTCGATCCCTATACTGGGTATAATAATGTTGCCCAAGTTTAAGTCATATGTGACGTCACCAACGGACCTGGCTGTCAGAATTGACAGTTATAATTTGCTAAGTTTGTAAACGTTTTGCATTAGTATATAAATGTGTGATAAATGTTCGCTATATTGCAAAAAACCTGTTTGGACGCCGACGTGCAGTATTGGACTGTAATAAGAATTTGGGCAGTACTCACACTTTACACTCACTGGCGATTTTGCGGCACCACAATTAAGTAGCGCGAAGCGATTTTCAGAAGCGCCTCCACGCAACTAAAGCGCATGTACCAAGAAAGGGCGGCGTTCTTTTAAAAAATGATGTCTAGTTAGTTTACGTGAATTTGTATAGGTACGCTTCAAGCGCAGTGGCAAAGTGTTGGCTACTGACGTTACTCGGTCTAGTTTAGTCAGGTACTTTTTTTCTCTTCGCGCTGACACTTGATTTTAGAATGCTTACGCGGATAGAATAGTCTTTCACAGCGCAAATATTTCTTTTATTTTACACTGACCTTTTTCTACAATTATTGTCAATTGTATGTATGCGTCAGGCGGCAGCAGCAAATGCTGCTTTTCAATTCTCACATAGCAGCGCGCCGTAGTGATGACATCGAGACGAGACTTGGTGTCGTCAAGTCTCGATGACGTCTAACGGTCGGTCTGTCTATCTGTACTCTCATTTCCGGCTAAACGGCTGAACCTGCCATGTGACACGTTAAAATTTTCTGTTTCTGTTTCTATACTTATTTTTTTGTCCTTTTTGTGTTACATAGAAATAAAGATTTTTCTCTCTTTTCTATTCCAACCAAATTTTGTACACATATTCTTTAAAATAAAAGGAAGAACTGAAAAGCTTTTGGGAAGAATCGCGCATGCGCAAATATGTGGAAGTAACAAAAAAATTGACGTTTTTCCAAATTGTGGCTAAACTGTGCTAACCAATTTTTTTTAAATTGTACTGACGGAGGGGCCTGGTGATTAGAGCACACCAGACCACAAAATGGGGGAATTAAATTCGATTGCCGCCTTCTCGTCCGTAGGGTTAACTTTACTATCTAAAATTGAAAACCCGGGGCTATGATAGGCGGTTATTGAGCAGAGTACCACACCAGAGCAAAAACCATTACCGTCACCAACTCGGTCGAAAATCATCAATTATTATTTCCACGGTGCCTTTTGTATGCACTATACCAATTTTAGGTAGTATGTCTAGCAATTCTTAGGAAATCTGGGGATTCTTTGAAAGTTTTTGGGTATTCTCGGGTAGTCTTTAGGAAATCTTGGGTATTCTTTTGAACTGGGTATTCGTTGGTACACAATTTTCACTATGTGACAACCCTTCGGTTTGTTCTATGTGACATTTGCAAACTACACTGTATTTTTGTTGATATATGATTTTGTTGATATATGTTGTAGTCAATTCAACGTAAAGGTGCCAAAAAAGTCTATTTCAAAATGTATAAAGTGTTGCGGCCTGTAAATCGACAGTTGTAATAAAACTATACAACAAAAAATTTATTTCCAAGAAAATCGCCAAGTTAGAACCCCGTCCCCGTTTCTAAAAATTCGAATTAAATTGCAATGGGGCAGCTAGTTGATTTGTGCCACTCAGAACACTTCTGCACAATGTAACACAACATCGTTTGATCAGTTTGTAGCATGTTGTGGTTACAGTACGAAGTTGTAACCCCGTTTCTGAACATTCGAATTAAATGGTACCTAATGGAACAGCTAATTGATTTGTGCACACTCGTAGCACAATGCAGAACAACATCGTTTGAGTAATTTGTAGCATGTTGTGGTTACAGTGCGAAGTTGTAACCACATTTTCAAAAACTTGATTTTTGTGAATACCCGTACGGCACAAATTTTATTTCAATCAGCACAATGTAGCACATTGGCAGCACAATGTAGCACAACATCATAAATTGCACTTCGATACATTTCTTGTTACAAGTTCATAGACATTAGCCCCCCTCCTCGACCTCTTATCGTAATCGGGTGTATCCCCTTATACCTCAACAACGGAATGTCGGAAGAGGGTACTCACAAAGGGAGATTGAGACGTCTGCAAGAAATATATCCATTGGTGATGCCAAAACAAAAGCTATTTCAGTTAAAAAATGCGCTTTATCTATACAAGAGTTGGGCACAATTTATACTTGATTTAAAATAAATACGTTTTTATGTTTTCATCGAGGAAGGGGGTGTGAGCTATTTTACTTTTCAGAAAAGGGGTGCCATGGGAAGAAGTTTGGGAACCACTGGTATAGGTGCTATGTTGCTGAGAAAAACTAAAACAGCCAAAATTTTGGACAACAAAAATTTGAATCCGTTGAATTATTTAGAAAGAAATGCATTTGTAGCCCTTTTACTATTATTTATTTACGTAATTACTGGTTACGCACTGACTGTCCGAATAACATTTCGGCGGTATAGGTTGAATTTGAGGAACATTGGTTATAACCAAGGTTTATGTTTTTACGGCATTTGTAAATTATGAAACGATTATTAGCAATTGGTAAAAAAAGAGGACCTCTTGATGCTTATTGATAATTCGGTAACTATAGCGCGTTCGCACCTCCAAATGCAGTATGGTGCTTATAGACATACAGTACATGCTTGCCAAACGTGACAATGGCAGCATAAGGAGATTATGTTTTGTTTTCATACTTCAATTTAGTCATATGTCAATTTGACATCAATGCGGTTAGAAGCAAGGATAGTATTATCGAAGACTGACGCAAACTAGTAAGAGAGGCAATTAGTCCATAAGACTCCATACTGCATCTGCAGGTGCGAACGCACTATAGAATAAAATTTTGAAATCGATGAATTCCTTTGTTTTAGAGCCTACTTCGTTCGAATATGTGGCTGGTTTTAACAGTTCTTGTTGGGAGTTTCGCACATTACATTTTGGCTTTAGACGGAGACAATATCTGCCCAGAAGAAGAAAGGTAACATACCGCATAGTAGATATTAGATCTTTAGGAAACGCTGTGAACTCCTTCCTTTACTGTTTACATAGTGTAAACATTTAATAATCGCAATGACGTATTCTTGTCATTACTAAGTACACGTTCACAGCATTAGGAGCTACAATGTTTGTTAAATGGCAAAAAAATTGCACATTGCAAATTTATACAACTACAAAATGTCAAAGTACCATAATAATGAATAATGCAGGAAACATTATGGTAATCTATATATCTGATTTATTATAAGTAAGTAAAATTCGTTTTTGAGCAAATCGGTGCACAATTTTAAAAACACCACTATATTTTATTGAAAAGAACGAAAATAATCTATTTAACAAGGAAAATACAAAATATTGTTTCAAATAAAAAAATGAAAATTTCCTATTTTTCAAAAAATGTAGTTATAAAAATTATTTCTACGCCACTGATTTTGATATTTTTTCGATATATAGTAGTCATGGCAATATCTACGCAAAGAATTGCACGATTCAATTCGGTCCCGACATAGATACATTTTGCCGGCATTGTCCTACGACTCTAACGCTGTGCACGATATGTAACTCTAACCCATCCCGTATAACGTGATTATACTATACTCACTTGATATACAGTGTAGGTATATTATTCAAATTAGTTCATTCCACTTTCTTTAATTCATGTATTGTGATGCTGCATAATCCACAAGAGATCGGTGATATGAAAATATGCCTTGCCCGTTCTGTATAAGGTACTACTAAAAAGCGTACCTATAAGTGCATGTGTTTTCCATGTTTTTATTGTCAATTTGTTTATATTTTGCATTGAAATTAAAAAATAGGTTAAGCAGATGTATAAACCACATTGTAAATGCATTACCGAAAGATGCCAATGTATTTTTAGACTACATTCGTATTATGCTTAAAATGGCGCCTAGGGTTATTGAAACCAAGTTACTCTTACATATAATTTCTGAAGTGCAATTCTTGAATACCGCAAAAACTAATAAATTGGGTGGCTCATCTACGCTAAAAAGTACATATACTTAAGTACGTTATACCATTGTATTTATAAAATACAATGGTTATACTTATAATACTCTTTGTCAACACATAAAGCACATTTTTATTCTAGGATTTAGACATGATCATAGTTATTCTCGAAAATCAAATAGTCATTTGTAAATAGAGAACTATTCTCCACAAAAGGGAGAATGCCTATAAATATTTGTAAAAATACAAACAGTTTCGAAAATCCTTCAACAGCAATCACTTCCAATTGAAAGTTATTTCACCATAAATAAAATGCGGGACCACCTACACATGCAGAGCATTTTATAGTTTAATTAATTAGGTAATTTAAGGTCAGCCTTTCATGTTTCCGATTGATAGATTTGTTTTCCATGGAAACAAATTTATTTGACATTTTGACAATATCATGGGAAGTTTAGGCTATGGCATTATTAAAACATTTTTGTAGGAATTTGAATAAATGATAAGGTTTTCAACGTGACTTTCAATTTGACAATAGAATGCTATACAGCTTATGGTTTCATATGCATGACCGATTTCCGTGTTCAGTGTTTTCAATGGAGTGTTTTGTGAAAATGTGGCTAAAAGACATCGCATACATTACATATCTAACAAAATTGGAGTAAACCGACATCTATCTATTATTACGCATTTTTTTATTTAGGTACAAGACCAATATTTTATATTAAATTATTAAAACAATGTTAATTAATAGATTTATTTTTATATTATGTATTTTATTGGTATTATAGTTTTTTGATAATTAACAAAATTTCAACCAGCTCGCGGTGTAATTCATTTAAATAAGACATTTTGGTTTAGTTTATGTCAAATATCGTAAAGTACTAAAACAATCGACACGTTTGTCAGCAATCTATTGTTTTCATCGCACCTTATTGTAGATTGCAATTTAATTCTATAAACGTAATAACCTGTTGTAAAGCATGCAAATAAATACATAAAAAAATAAATAGAAATTCATACTGTGTAGACTGTTAACTACATTATTTTAATCCGTTGAATAGTTCGAAAATTAAAGTTGGGACCAGAAGAAATAAGTTCAATATCATTTCGTGGTCAAATGAAAGTTACGTTCAAAGCAATATTACCTATACCCAAATTTGTTTTAAAAACTGTTATGTCCTAGTCCAAACCGACTATTTTTAGCAGTTTTCTTGCAAAATAAGGAAAATATAAAATTGCAGAATTGTACAGAACATAATATCATACGTAAACTAAAAGAACATTCTTTAAATATACAACATTAACTTAATCCAACATGATCCCCATGGCGAGGTGCTCCGTGCTAGAAATAGGTTTTCTGAGTATTGTATTCGCAACCGTTTCAAAGTTATTTGCCATTCAATATTAATAGAAGATTGTGAAACTCGACCTTACATAACAAATTTAATTGAAAAATAGGATCTTATCTCTTTTCTATTAAGTTTTAAAAACTCGTTAAAAACCCCATGATACAGATAGTAATCGAGCAATGTAGCTAATGGGCAAGTTGGAAGTTAATATTACGAGGGAATTTTCCAAACTTTTCGACGTGACTATTTCTTGCTTGTGGACATCAAAGAGGGTGTTTACATGTCGTAGGCCGTTTGTAAAAATTGCCTCTTTCCTTTAAAATACTCAACCCCAAAGAAAATTACACCAAATCATGAAATAACAGTCTTTAAATTTTTCATAATAGGTAATAAAATATACCTTATTTTACGAGATAAAGAATTTAACCAATCCCACAATTCGTTGAAAAAACACATTGTACTGAAGCATCGGAACTACATTTTTTTACTCTTCTTGTTCTTCACTCCTATAAGTTAGTATACGAAAATCTTTATTTATTCATTAATTTCGTCGGTGATACGGTGGTCGTTTATGCACATAAGGAACTAAATCTTGTGTTGTTCTTGCCTTGCCTTCTATTTGACTAAGTAGAGCAAAATCTTCATTTATTCACCAATTTCAACAGAAAACAGCCATTGCCGTGATGCACAGAAACGTAGATCGTGTTGTGGTCTTTTTGTAGGGTTACTTTTGTGGTCATTGGTTAAGTGCTTTCGACTATATACAAGATACTAGACAATTTTTTTAACCACGTTTTTTTGTATGGCATATGGGGTTTTTCAAACGGAAGGATGGAATTACACATGCACATGTATTTGTCATAAAAATATCAAAGCATAGTCGTTTCTTCTTCACGTTTCATGCACTAATTAAATCTACAAGAAAATTACGTCGTTGATACCAACATTTCCCTATACCCAGCAATCAAAGTTTTTCAAAATTTTTGACGTTTGACTGCTTTTCTTTAGCGCCCTATTCTCTATGGCTCCGTTGATTTGAATTTCAAAAAGTCTTCTAAAAACAACAATAATGGCATGATGCTACATGCGAATGATTTAAATTTTGATCTCACTTCTACAGGGTGTTATAAAATTAATGGTCAAGTTGGTGTCGTGGCACTGGTAAATCTGTACCGTCTTATACCCGAATAATGAAGTTCCCAGAAATGTTTTATACAAACCCTGGAGTAACTAGTAATCTCGAAATTGTCCCGGTG